GGTGTGTCTGCTTCTAAATCAGTCATCTTCATCCTTCAAGCATCCCAAAGCTCAGCTATGGGGAGAAGTGGTCATGCATGAGAAGCCATGAGGGGTGAGGGAGGGCATGGGTGAGATATGAGTTAATAGTAAATTCAGAAAATTGGACAAGTCACATGCAGATAATGAAACATAGACTGAGCCTCACTTGCTGGTTTACATGGTTGATGCCTATGGGTTGTTTGTCCTCCACGCCATTAATGAGATTCCCCCCAGCCACAGCTGTCAACCTCTGAGAATTATGATATCTTCTCACAATGGACATAACTTCAAAATCCTAGGATGTCAGAGCCAGAAGGACCTTGGAGGTTATCAGGTTCAACCCTCTTATTTTACAGATGAGTTGACTGAGTTGTAGAAAGAGGAAGTAACTTGGTCATGGAGGTAGGTAGTGGCCAATCTTGTTTTCAGACCTAGATCTTTTATTTCCTAGATCTTTTATTTCCTAGATCTTTTACTTCCTAGTCTCTTCCATATTTTTAAAGTTTTCTAATCAGGGAATTAAAAGGTTTGATAGGCAGGTCATTTCTAGCCCAAAGGGAGGAGTCTTTATGGCATACATGTATTTTAAGTTAATATGAATTAAAATTAAATTTGAAAATGTTTTTATAGTTCTGCTGCCACCACCCCCTACCCACTTGCTACAAATTAGGATTTGAATTCCTATATTTTAGAGGGCAGGTACCAGGTATCTCTAAATCAAAGTAAATAACCTGAATAGATAGCACACAGAGAAAACTTTAACAAAAAATTTTAAAATAATTTTGTTAACAACCATATTCCGCTGTCTTAAAGATTTGGAGCAAGCTCAGAAATGTTGCTCTCCTTCCTCCCCTTGACCCCAGTCCACCCACGAATAAGAAACAAACATGGTAAGGATGAAGTCCTTATGTTTGCAAAGTTGACACTTTGATGGCCAATCTCTTGAGTCTCTGAAGTGAAGAAAAAAAAATGTGTTTGGTGCCAAAGACCTTAATTAATTTGCTCTTGTTAAATTCCAATAACTTGACCCACTGGAGCAGAGAACGTCCCATTTGTTTTCTGTGAGGCTCTGTCAGCTTCCCTGCTGGGGCAGACAGTGTCATTAGAGATGACGGAAGAGAGGCAGGTGGAGCGAGGACATTCAATGTAATCAGATCTTCTCATTGAGGGGTCACACGTGAGGGGACCCAAGACCTTCCGAAAGAAGCACTGCTCCAAATCACAGCAGACTCTCAATTACATGAGGACACAGGGTCAGGTTCTCTAGGTTGTGACTGGATTCAGCAAACCTTTATTGAGTGCCTACGGGTGGAACCTACTCTGATCAGGTGCTCCTACTCTGGCCACTGATAACTTAGGCGTGCCTCCTCCTTACATGCCCCATCTTCTCCAGTCCTCTCTGCAACTCTAACGATGGTGGTATTATTCTGTTCCACAGGAAAGGAAAGGGAAACAGAGACTTCTGTGGGGACCCTGGAAACTATGCCACGGTGAATCCTACACCCACTATTGTGAATCTTATTTCCTTCCTGAACTATTATTTGGGGGCCAAGAGACTAGCCCTCAACAAGGATATGGATGTCCTGCAAGGACTCACCTGCAGAGGTAAGCCAGACCTGCCTTGTGGAGGTCATGGTTCTCATCCTACTTTCCTCTAAATCAGTGGTTCTCAACCTTCTGGCCCTTTAAATACAGTTCCTCATGTTGTGACCCAACCATAAAATTATTTTCGTTGCTACTTCATAACTGTAATGTTGCTACTGTTATGAATCGTAATGTAAATATCTGATATGCAGGATGGTCTTAGGCGACCCACCAAAGGGGTCGCGACCCACAGGTTGAGAACCGCTGCTCTAAATGGATCTGGTGCCAGGTATGCTCAGTGGTAGTTCTGTGGGTCTGAATATCTAGTTGAGTCTAGAAATGAAGAATCTCTGGTAGATGTTGCAGGCTTCACCTGCTTCTTGCTTCCAGAGAGCCCCTAAAAAGCTGATACTCTGTAACCACTTATGCAGTGCTGTGTGTTTTTCCTCAACTGGCCAGCACACTGCAGAGCAGGAGAAGTGACACGTACTTGAACTTTATCCTCAAAACCACTATCATCACTACTGATCATCATCACTGTCATCAAAATCACCATTGTCACAGCCACCATAAGAATCTGTGCATTTGAACTACTGCTTATCACCTCCCTCTCCCTTCTCCAAGTCACATATTACTCCCTTTTTTATTTTGCCTAGCAGCATTTTCTCCTGTGGACAGCCTCTCCTAGAAAAACACTGAACGGCCTGGCCAGCTTGGCTGAGTGGTTGAGGGTTAACCTATGAACCAGGAAGTCACGGTTCGATTCCTGGTCAGGGCACATGCCCCAGTTGTGTTGGGGGGGAGGGTGCAGTAGGCAGCTGAGCAATGATTCTCTCTCATCATTGATGTTTCTATCTCTTTCTCCCTCTCCCTTCCTCTCTGAAATCAATAAAAATATGTATTTTTTAAAAAGCAAAACAACAGAGAGTCCGACTCAGTCTAAGACAAATCCTTCAGTCTCAGAGTTTTACTCTCTGAAAAAATGGGAAGAATAATCCTTGCCCTGGGGGACATGCTCTGACACTGTTAGCTCCAGTATAGCCAACAAAATGATAGAACAGCCTCTGAGCAGGAGAGACCAAAGCACCAGGTAGGCCAGAGTTGGGGTGTTGGGTGGCTCAGAGCCACAGGGAGCAAGGCAGGCCTGTTTGTGAGGGCTCTTCCTGTAAGTGGACACAGGTGTATCAAAGTGGCAGGTGGCATCTGCAGGTGTCCCGTAAGTGACGCCTGGGACTCCTACCTGATGAGAGAGGGCTAATAGAAGGAACATGGGACTGCTAATCAGGAGACCTGGGTTCCACTCCCAGATGAGCAACCTTGAGCAGGTCACTTCCCTTCTCCGGGCCCAGCTCTCTCAACTGCAAAGCAAGGGAGTTGTGCTGGTCGATTGTACAATCTCCTCTATGTTCAATTATCTCAATCGTCAGACCTATGGAGCCCTGAGTGGTAAGTGGTATTTATGCTCCTCTCTCTCACCCACATTCCAACCAGGAAAGGAGGAGTATACTTCCCTGCCCCACTACCTCTTTGATGGAAGGCTAGTTGGTGACTTGCATTGGCCAATGTCTGTGGGCAGAAGGAGCAATGTACCAGCACTGAGCAGAAACTTCAAGAAGCATTGCACGTGTCAACCAATCCTCCTGTGCTCCTGCACTTGGCTAAGAGAATACACTCCTATAGTCCCTGCTCCTTTAGACTGGGCCCAGCAGGAAGAGACGCTCAGAGCAGGCCCAAAGCCAATGCACAGTCAGAAGCTAAGCCCAGCCAAGTCCAGAAGAGCCACAGCCATCTTGTAGTCCCATGAATGGAAAATAAATGCTTGCTGTCATAAGGCTCTGCAATTTTGGAGTTTGTTTGTCACTGCAGCCAAAGCTGACTAATACACCACGTGACCGGAAAGCATGTCTCCTAGAAGCTCATATCAATGACAGATCAAAAACCTGCCTGAAGGAGAATGAAGGGCAGCTGGAGGGGCCTCTACAGGAAGGCCCCTCCATGCCAGAGCCCCATACCTCCATATGGAGACACAACTGGTTTTTGGCATCAACAAGGCCAGGCCTCAGCAGGAATAGGAAGGGAGTTTTGTGCAAGAGGGAACTAAATTAGAATGCCTCAAGTCACATTCCTCCCATTAATGGTCCTCTTTCTTCCACCGCTCTCCAAACCCGAGCAGTCTGCTTATTTCACTGCCTACATACCATAATTAACAGTCTCTTGAACTAGGGGTTGATGTATTGGTTTCACTAGCGCAGAGGCAGCAAGTTGCTTAGACAAGCTTACAAGTTCCGGCATCACTAGTTGCTGGCTACTGTCATTAGTATGCAAGGGTCCAACCTCTCTGGTTCTAATATTATAGGATCCCAGAGAAACTCACATTAATATCATCCCAGCCAAATTCTAGTTAATAGATGTTTTTCTGCCAAACGAAGCCTTGTAGCATTTTTATATAATTCATAAACAAATTCCCAGGGAAGACAGTTGTGGCGCTCTGATGCTGTGAGCACTATGGCCTAGGGGGAAATCTGAGAGTTCCGGGTCAGGATATGCAGGCTTCCCGTCACTCAGAAAACCAGGACCACTCCCCACTCCTCAGTCACTTGGACGAAGACTTCAGAGTTGACAGCCTATGTCAACCAACCCTCCACCAACCAAACTAACAGGAGGTTAGAGAGGGGAACGTAGATTTGGGAATGGGATAAGAAGGAACTCAAGTGGTGGGTTTCTGACTTTTTTCTAAAACACTGATGCCTTTTAAACAGAATCATACCTGCAATGGAAACATGTAAATAGAAACAAAACAGAAGCTCAGGGTGGCACAGGGGTGAAGAGTCAGAGCCCATCAGGTCAGCACTCCATTCCCCTCCTGAAGGCAGCTCCTGAAGCTGGGCGTGGAAGCCCAGGGCTACACACAGTGTGAAAACAACTGGACTAGAGAAATCTTGGGCATTGGAATCGGCTTATGGAAAGCTGGAAAAAGGAGGCAGGCATCCTCAATACTGGTTCTGGGCATTTTGCTGTGAAGAGAATGAGATTAAACGTGCAGGCAGCCCTGGTCTGGCTTGGCAGCCATGGGTACACAACAGAGAGGAGGCTTTCCTCATCCAGCCAGAGGCAGATAGACTGACCAACGGACTTTTCACAAATCTTCATAGTGGCAAGTCTCCTTATCTATCTTCAACCAGGCAAGACATGTGCTTGGAAAGATTTAGATCTTCCTTCCCTTCCCTGCTTCCCACTCACCTCCCAAATTTAAGCCACCGGCCCCTCCTGAACTCACAGGTTTCAAGGCTGCTGCCTTCTCTGCTTTGACCTCCCAGAGGGTGCAGTCCTGAGGGATTTGTCTAACTCACCCTCATTTGGCTTCCCACTTCCCATGGAGACAGGCCCCGACTCACCAATGCACACCACGTCCATGAACCCGTACATCCCGTAGCAGATCTGGAAGAGGAGGTCTTGGCGCTGCCATTTTGCCGAGGGACTGAAGGTTGACCAGATGAGCCAAGAGATACTGGCGATGAGGAAGAGGGAACCCAGGATGGCGGCTGCAATCTGCACCTTCTCAATGACTGTCAGAGAGATGGCCTGCCACTGCGGGGCAGAGAATGAATGGTCGGTAGGTTAGCTGTTGCTCAGATACCCTCATCCCATTCCCATCCCTCTTCCTTCTGTCACCCCCAAACTCTCACCACTGGTTTAGGATTTAAACCAGGGCTTTCCAACTAGTGACACAATGGATATTCTTGCAAGTTTTTTAGTTTTATATTGTTTTGGTGGAAGAAACCTATATCACACCAAATGATCAAAAGTCATTGCAGGGGTGGGGTTCTGGGCAGGCATGGCTGGGAAGGAAGGTCTTTGCAGTTGAGTATGACACAGACAGAGAAATGGGGAGGAGGAAGTGAAAATGCAGCTCTAATGTGGTTGGAATTCCAGGGCCCAAATATTCTTTTCAGAGCAGCACTGTTTCCTTTCACACTGATAGGTGCTGAGAGGACACAGGCCTTTTTTACTTTTCTACAACACCTGGCATGCCATTTAATATACATGCTGGAGATTACCAATTCAACAGACTAGGAGAGGACCCAGGATGTGGAGGAGAGATAAGAAAAACAGTATAATCTACTGACTATATATGAACACTAAAGTTTCTTTTTTAAAAAAAACCAAAACAGAAAAAGTATTATACTAATAGCAGTATTGATGGATGGGTTGAAGGCTAAGGTGTGGGTGAGTTTCAGCTCTGAAATTCTGCTATTCTATGACGATCTAGGTAGCAGAGGCCTGAATGAGCCTGGAGTTGGATTTTAGTTTGGGATTTATTTATGCTGTCACTCAACAAACATGTGCTGAGTAGTCTCTATGTGCCAGCCACTCTTCTAGGTGCCAGAGACAAAGTAGTAAGCAAGAACATACAAGATTTCTGCTCTCATGGAGCTTACATTCTAGAAAACACAGACAACCAAATAATTTCTTACAAATGTAATTTATCAGGAGTAAGAAAGGGAGATCCATGTCACTGTGGAAGTCCATAAATGGGGATTTGACTTCCCAGGAGAAGAGATGCTTGAGTTGAGTAGGAGTTGACTAGAGAAAGAGAGGGGAGGGGGCTCCAGGCCCAGGGAAGAATGTGTGCAAAGGCCCTGAGAGTATGAAAACCTGGAAGAAGACCAGAGTGAGTGGAGCAGAGAGAGCGAAGAGGTTGTGGGGTGAGACACTGGAAATATAAGAGGGGAAGACCATGTGGAATCTTGAAGGATACGCACAGATGTTTGACTTTGTCCTAAGAGTAAATATGATGCTTTTGAACAGTTTTAAGCAGGGAAGTTGGACAATGTTACAAGGATCAGGTTTGGGAAGAGGGAAGGAAGGACAATCTCCTGATCATAGGAAGTTGCATAACACCTTGCAGAGAAGACTCCTAGGGCACTTCAGCCTGAACCGGAGGAAAGGCAGGGTACCCTCCACCTGCCAACAGTGAGCGTTCACTCTGCATTCAATGGCCGGGAAGGGGGCACTGATTCTGGCTCCAGCCGGGACTGATCAATGGCCCCCAAGGAATTGTAACCATTGGAAAACATGTTGTTTGCTAGTCTAGATGTAGGACATCCGCCTTCACATTTAATTATCCCATTACACATCATTGGGCCTTTAAATTTTCCACTGTTTCCTCCTGCCTAGGGTTACACATAACAAGGGGATTTTCCAGAAGTCTGTAACCCGAACCTACAGATGTTGATCATATACAACAAGTGCTTTTTCCAGGCCTGTCCCACTGTCTGTGAAGAGGGTTCCTGCCTGGGCTTTTTTGTTTCTACCATTAAGTCATCAATAACCCCCACCTTCTCCTGCTCCAGATTTTAAAAAATCCCAAAACCAAAGGCACGGAAAAGTCCCCTTAATTTCTAAAGCCCTTTCCTACCAGCCCCCAAGCCACCTGTGGAAAATAAACAGGGTCCCAACTACAGTCTGAAGCATGAAGAAGGAGTGGGGTGGGGGCCATTGTCAAGGCTGCCCTCCTGTCTGTTCCACGTGAGGCTCCCCAAAAGGGGCGGGAGCAGAAGTGCAAGGAGAAAGCAGAGAACAAGTGACCAAGGTCTCAAAGAGGCTGGTGGGGAGGGCTCCAGAGGCTTCAGGCTCTGCAGCCACCAGACACAGAGCAAGATTCTAAATGCGAGATTCTCAAGCGCTGCCTGTTCTGCAACATAGGGAACGCACATGGGGCACTGAGTCTGGGCAGGTGACCCAGTTCCAGCCGAGCTCTGCCCCAACTTGCAGAGTGTGACCTAGGAGAAGTCAATATGTCCTAAAGACTCTCAAGTTGCCCTTTTGTAAAAGTGGAAATAATCAGTCCCACTTCCTAGAATATTGTGAGGGTTAAATGAAATAACTTTCTGTGCTTCTTCGTTAGGTTTCAGCAAAAATATAGTTATGCATGTCGAGGTGGGGGCTGCCTAAAGGTAAACGTACTCAGCAAACTCAGTGCTGTGCACTATAGGGTAGAGGTTAAGGGCCAGACTCAGGAGTTAGACCCCTTGGATGCAACCCTGCTCCATCAGGGTGACCCTGGGCAGATTGCTGACCCCTCTGTGCCTCCACTGTCTCATCTGTAAATTGGGAATAACAGTACCCACTGCATTGGTTGTTTTCAATATTAAATGAGATAATATACATGAATATGTAGAACAGTGGTTGGCTCCCAGTGAGCACCCACTGAACATTAATGTAACTGCAGCTCAGGTGTAGCAGAAAGGGTAAGAAATAACCACGAAGACCATGGGGCCACCCCAAAACTCTTCTCAGTGGCTCTTCTGCTAGAACCAGAGCTTGCAGAGGGTCACTGAGGTAACATACTGTCATGGCTGCTGTTTTTCACCTCTTTGTATGGGGCCTGGGAGAAACCTCCCCACACTGAGCACAGGCAGCCTGGGCTACCATCCATTGCTCTGCTCACTGGCGGTGGGGCCTGCCCACTCTGTCCCGTACCACGGGTGGTCTGCCTGGGTTGTGGGAGCAGAAGTTGTCCCACTGAGGCTCAGCAGGCAGCTGTCTCACACTTGGCTGGGCCCAAGGAGCCCAGGACACACAACTGGGACAATTTGGGCGACAACCACACAACACTGCTGCTAGTCCAAACTACTTCCTTCTGTGCGGTCTGGAAAAGTGCAGTGACACCACTGCATTTCCAAAAGCAGCAGAATCATGGTAGTAACTTAGCAGTAAATTAATAGCTCAATTTTGTCAATTCTGCCATTTGTTTGCTGTACTTATGAGATTAGAATAACCTCCCCCACCCCCCCCAGAAAAGAGTTATCCCTAAATGGTTTTTCATCTTGTGAGTCAAAGGCCAATGCCTGCTAGTGAGCCAAGGGGGCACTCATGGGGAGACTTGTAGGTTTGGACCCTGACCCTTCTTCAAGGCTTGAGTCAGCCAAGAAGGAAGGGGAGAGTTACAGCACGAGGGTGTGGAATCAGCTGTCTCACGACACTGCTATTTTAAGACACTGCAAGATTTGAAACGAATGACTGGAGATGGAACCAGCACAGGGGGAGGCACCTCTTGTTCTGACCCCTTGTTCCACCATCAGGATGGCTGAGGTGCCTGGGGCTTTTAATGTCTCCTTCCAGAAAAAAATGCTCCCCCTCCCCGGTCCACACACACGTACTGCACACACACACACACACACACTCATTCCTGGCAGTGCCCCATGTAAGCTGCATAGTGTCTAACATAAAACGCCCTGGACACGGAAGCTCCAGGTTTCCACCTGCCCCTGCCCCCTGCAGAGACCCCACCCCACCATCACCACCAAACCAGCACCCTCCTGGGCTCGCAGGGTCACTCTCCCCTCCCCCTCAGGGAGGAGAGTGACACCACTGTGCAGATGCTCAGTTCCCACCCTCACTAGCCTGCTGGCTAACTGATGACCTGGCAGCTTAACTGGCTGACCATGTGCACATGGAGGTATTTTCAGAAGCCACGCACTCTCTATATGCGCGTGCCTCGGAGGGAGAGCTGCTTGAGTTGGAGGATTCACGGGGTGGTGCAGGGCCTGCCGGCTCCTCTGGGAAGATGGATGTGTCAGGGCAGGGTGAGAGGATGGGGTGGGGGACCCCTCAGTTCTTACAGGTCCAGCCCTGTCTAAATCTGCTTGGTAGACCCAACCCCAGCCCTGCCCCTCCCTGCCCTTGCCCTTCACAGTAGCTTCTCCCCTTTTCTTCCTTCCTTATTTTTTTAAAATATATTTTTATTGATTTCAGAGGGGAAGAGAAAGGGAGAGAGAGATAGAAACATCAATGATGAGAGAGAATCATTGGTCGGCTGCCTCCTGCACACCCCCCTACTGGGGATCGAGCCCACAACCTGGGCATGTGCCTTTGACCAGAATTGAACCTGGGACCCTTCAGTCTGCAGGCCGATGCTCTATCCACTGAGCCAAACCAGCTAGGGCTCTTCCTTCCTTATTGCCCATTCTTCACTTTCCCTCTGCCTCCCTCTCCTGTCTCTTCTCCATTCTTCTCTGGTCCCTGTCACCCAAGTGTGATTCATGGATCAGCAGCATCCATACCACCCCATCAACCCATAGCTTATCAGAAATGCAGAATCCCAGGCCCCATCCCAGACTCCTGAATCATGTCTGCATTTTGACAAAATTCCAGGTGAATTGCATGTACATTAAAGGGTGGGAAATGCCATTGAATCTCCTTTCACCTTCTTTCCTCTTTTCTTGCCCTTAGCTTTATCTCAGGCTTTCTCCTCACCCCTTCCACCCTCTGTCTTTTTCTCATTCTGTTCTCTTCTGTCCTCTGGTCTTCCTTCCTCTCTTCTTCTCCCTCCCTCCCTTCTTTCTTCTTTGTCCTGTCCTTTCCTTTCTGCTTCCATCTATCCATCCATCCATCCATCCATCCATCCATCATCTATCCATCCCTCTCTTATTCTCTTTTCCATCTGACTCTGCCCTTCTTTCCTTCTATATCTATTTTTCTCTCTTTGCCTCATTCCTTTCTCCTCTTCTTGCTGAGGCTTAAAAAAAATACACAAACGTTTTTTCATTTCCTCCTGCCCAAATGCCATCTGTGATCTTGCCCACCTAGCCTACCTCATTTCTTTTCTCCAAACTGCCCTGACTCTAAGGTGAAATGGTCCTCCCCCAGGAAGGCAGGGGATGTGAGAAGCCCGGGTCCCAACACCCCAGCGCCCCCAGCCAGCGGGCAGCCCCCGGTGGTACCTGCAGAGGATTCTTTGTGCTTATGGCAATGACGTGGTACTTGTAGTAGCACAGCTCACAGCTCCAGCAGCCACGCTCGCTGATCCACTTGATGAGGCAAGGCTGGTGGGTACACTTGACGGAGCCATCGCAGCGGCACGGGCTCAGCAGCTCCCCCTGCAGGACAAGAGGCATAGGGTGGTGAGGCCCAGAATTAGGCTGGCAGGCAGGTGGGCAGGCGGTAGGCTGGGTAGCCTAGACCACGCCACTGAAACCAAGCCACAGGCTTTGCTGGCAGGCACCAGACCCCACAGAGGAGACCTGGGCTCCAGCTTCTCCACCATGGGGGCCAGGACACTTCAGTGGAGTTTTAGCCTCTGTGCTGCCTGAGTCCTAGTGTTGCTGTGAAAATGAGTGAGTTGATTTCTATGGAAGCCTTCTGCCATCCAAAGGGGGTCATACACTGGTACCCCTCACGGGAACAGTATATTATTCATCTTTGTGTCCTTAGCACCCAGTACAGTGCCTGAAACAGACACTATCCAGCTTTGGCAGGGGCATGCATGCATACATGTCTGTTTGATGGACAAGAGGCTTTGTTCCTCTAGGACATTGGTTCTCAACCTTCCTAATGCCGCAACCCTTTAATACAGCTCCTCATGTTGTGGTGACCCCCAACCATAAAATTATTTTCGTTGCTACTTCATAACTGTAATTTTGCTACTGTTATGAATTGTAATGTAAATATCTGATATGCAGGATGTATTTTCATTGTTACAAATTGAACATAATTAAAGCATAGTGATTAATCACAAAAACAATATGTATAGATGTTTTCCGATGGTCTTTGGCGACCCCTGTGAAAGGGTCGTTTGACCCCAAAGGGGCCGCGACCCACAGGTTGGTGACCCACAGATTGAGAACCGCTGCTCTAGGACATGGCCAGCTCTGGCTCTGGGTGGGCAGCAGGGGCACCTGGAAGAGGGGTAGAAATCCTTGGTATGGAGTAGCTGCTGTGTGTCTCTGGGAAGGAGATAGGAGGGAGTGGGGAGAGGTGCTGGGTGAGAGACAAAAGCTCTCATTATTCATGACAGCATTTCCTAGGCTCATTTATTCTAACAGGATGAACTGGGTTTGATTAATCGGTTGTTAAGCAGCCATGTCAAATTGCCGATCAGGTAAGAGACATTACTCCCGGCCCCCGAAAATGGTGCCAGGCGACAGTGAAGGCTGCACCCTTTGCTCCTCAAGCTGCAGCCACGAGACAGGAGAGCTGGGCCACCCCTGAGAACAAGGCCTGGGCCCTCTGTTGTGGCTCTGGATGTGGGACCCTCAGGGCTCACTGGAGTCACCCCTCTCAACCTAGCCTCAACATACTTATGTGAGAAGGGGGGGGGCATGACCTGGTCCCAGTGCCGGTGGTGAGGCCAAGAGGTCAATGGTGTGCTGCTTCCCTGAAGCTCCCGGTCCCCCACTCTCCCTTAGGACTGTGCAACCCAAAAGGCAGAATAGGGACTTTTTGGGCACCACAAACAGTGGAAAGCAAGGACACCAAAACTGTTAGAAAAGGTTAACTTTGATGGAGGAAGCAATCCAGAATTTTACCAAATAAATAAATAAATCTGCAAAGAAGCTATTTTAACCTTGGCACTTACGCAAGTTTTATTTAGTATATTTTTATGTATATTGGGAGTAAAGCCATATTCTTTTTGTGTTTAGGGCTCTAAGAGGCCTTAACCTGGACACTTCACCATCTCTGACTGGTCATGCCTGTGTTTCTCAAGAACAGAAGTGGAAATGAGCCAGCAGCCAGACGGATTCAGGTTAGACTTGATGTTCTTTTCAGGAAACTCTGTTAGAGGTTAAATGGTGGAACGTGAAAACTGAGGTGGTGAGCCCAGCCAGCATGGCTCAGTGGTTGAGTGTCGACCTATGAATAGGAGATCGTGGTTCTATTCCCAGTCAGGGCACATGCCTGGGTTGCGTGCTCAATCCCCAGTGTGGGGTGTGCAGGGGGCAATCGATCAGGGATTCTCTCTCATCATTGCTGTTTCTATCTCTTTCTTCTTCTCCCTTCCTCTTTGAAATAAATAAAAATATTAAAAAAGAAAGAAAGAAAGAAAGAAAGAAAGAAAGAAAGAAAGAAAGAAAGAAAGAAAGAAAGAAACTGAGGTGGTGAACATCTCTCGATGTAAAGGGACCTCTATCGAAGAGAAAGGGAAATGACCAACCCAAGGTCACCTAGCCAGCCGTGGCATGGCTAGGATGTGAAGCTGGGTCTCTCTGACATCATCAGACTCTGAGTTTCCCACCACACTCCTCTGCTCCTTCCCCTCCTGCATCCCGGGCCCTGCTGTCCCTCCCACACCTGTACCCTTCGGTCTCTTCTCTGGTTTCTCCTTTCCAGACCCAACCCCTTCCTGGCCCAACTGGGGTCCCACCACCAGCGTACACACTTGCTTCCTCTCCTGCATCATCACCCACAGTTTGTCACTTAATCATTCTCTAATTGTTTCCTCTGGGATTGGGGCTGCTCCTGCGAACCCCGTGGAACTGGACACACTGACTGGAAGGGCGCCAGGCTGTGCGAGACGACCAGCCCCTGAGGCTCCAGCCTTTGGGCTGGGGGATTATTATGATCTTGTCCTCTGAGCTCAGCAAACTCCACAGATCAAAGGGGCTTAGTAAATGGGAAGACACCACACACTTCCCTGATGATCTGCTTGGCGCTCTGGGGCCCAGGGACTGTCCTGGGGATGACTAGGGTGAGAAAAATCAGTTCTTCTCTAACCCCCAGGCCCCACTGGACACAGTGCAGGACGGGGGATTGCATAGTGTTGGGAGATAGACTTCTTAGGTTTGAAGGCCTCTTTGTCACTTACTGGCTGTGCAAACTTGAGCAAGTTTCTTAACCTCTCTGAGGCAGCATTTCCTCATCTTCCCATTGTGGGCAGCTCTTACCTTCTCAAGGGTGGCTGTAAGGATTGAGTGAGATCAAGCACATAAAATGCTGGGCACAGTGCCTGGTACAAGTAAGATCTCTTGTGAAAATATGGCAATTCTACCTCGCATTTCCCTAAGGACTTTAATTTCATAGTTCGTTGTGGTTTTTTTTGTTTGTTTGTTTGTTTGTTTGTTTGTTTTACTACAGTTCCACTTGATTCTCCTACTATCAAATAGGTAAGGAAGGGAGTCATTTTTAAGTAAAGGTCAACTGAACCCCAGAGAGAAGCTGAGATTAAGGAACTAAGAGTCTGCCCCTCTGAGGTGGGTAGGGGGTCAGAACATGGATCTCCTAACTTGTGGCCAGGACTGTCCTCTGTGTTATCAAGAGGTCACTGAGAGTGTTTTGGGGCACCCATCCCTGGGGATGCTGAAGAGAACAGCGTGAGCCCTTGGATGGGTTAAGTGGGGCCATGCTAGAGGCGGGAAGCAGGACAAGGTGATCCACTGCCCTTGGCCATGGCTGAGCTGGAGGGTAGGGAGAGAACAGGATGGATTATCCTTGCTGCCAATGACACAGGAAGCGGCAGGCACAAGGCCCCAGTCAGTTCTCCATTCACAGGTTTCTTTCTGTTTATTTTGGGCTTGCCTCATTTTTCCCCTTCTCAATCTGAAAGGACTTGCTTCTGGAGTCCTTAGGTTACCTGGTTGCCATGGCAGTGGCAGGTAAGCCAAAGACTTCCCCTTCGACCCACACAGGCACCAGGCATCCCCGCGACTGAGCAGAAAGAAAGAAATCTTGTCTAGTGAAGCAAAGGCAGCCCTAGCCCTGCTGCAGTGTGCAGCTCTGGGAGGTCAAAACATAGGAGATGATTGCCCCGGCTGGTGTGGCTCAGTTGGCTGGGCATTATCCTGTGCACCAAAAGGTTGCCTGTTTGATTCCCTGTCAGGGCACATGCCCAGGTTGCCAGCTTGATCCCCAGTAGGTGGCGTGCAGGAGGTAGCCAATCATATTTCTCTCTCACATTGATGTTTTTTCTCTCTCTCCCTTCCTTTCTATCTCTAGTAATCAATAAAAAAAAATTGTCAGGGCACGCCCAGGTTGCCAGCTTGATCCCCAGTAGGTGGCGTGCAGGAGGTAGCCAATCATATTTCTCTCTCACATTGATGTTTTTTCTCTCTCTCCCTTCCTTTCTTTCTCTAGTAATCAATAAAAAAAAATTAAACACACACACACACACACACAAAGAAGATGATAGAAATGCCTGCCTTTGGGTGTGGTTTAGAGTTCTCTTCCTTTGCTCAGATTAGTGTGATGGATGAGAGCTTGGGCTCTAATCTCAGGTAGACTTGATCTCTAGTAATCAATAAAAAAAAATTAAAAACACACACACACACAAAGGAGATGATAGAAACGCCTGCCTTTGGGTATGGTTTAGAGTTCTCTTCCTTTGCTCAGATTAGTGTGATGGATGAGAGCTTGGGCTCTAATCTCAGGTAGACTTGGGTGTATCCAGGCCCATACAATCTGTGTGACCCTGAGAAAGTTGCTTAACCTTTCTGGGCTTCATTCAGTTATTCTTTTAATCATTAAATATTGACCTGGTATGTTCTAAGTTCTGTTCTAGGTGACAGGGATACAGCACTGAATGGGATTGTCTGTCTGAGAGAGTCAGACAATAAAAAAGATAAATAAATTGTAAATACTGAAGATGCTCTCATGTGCTATGGAGGAAAATAAGCAGGGACACTGGAAATGGAATACTAGGGAGGTGGTGGGTTGAAGTTCTAAATATGGTGGCTCTGGAAAGCTTCATCAAATGGAGGCATCAGAGTGAAGACTTGAGGAAGGTAAGGAAGCAAGCCATGCAGGTATCTGAGGACTGAGCACTCGAGGCCAAGGGCACATCCAGTGCAAAGGCCCTGAGGCAAAAGCATGTTTGGTATGTCCTAGAGGAGCCAAAGTGGCTGTTGTATTAGTGGTAGAGTGAATGAGGGGAAGAGGAGTAGGAGGTAAGGTCAGAGATGTAATGGGGATCAAAAGTGAATGAGATGGGAAATTATGAGAGTATTTTCAGCAGAGGACGTGACTTGATCTGACTGTGCTTGATAGGATCACTCTGGCTGCTGTGCTGAAAATAGACTCGAAGGAAGAAAGCGTGGAGCAGGGGACAGAAGGCTGTTGTAGTAATCAGGCGAGCAAGGGGTGGTATTTTGGACCAGCATGGGAGCAG